GTAGACCAGGCTGACCTCGAACTCAGAAATCCGCCTGCCTCTGCCTCCCAAGTGCTGGGATTAAAGGTGTGCGCCACCACTGCCCGGCTTAAAACTGCATTCCTAAAATGCAACACTGTTAGGTGGCTTTTAAAATTTAATGAAAAAAAATAAAACTAAAAATTCATCAATTAAAATTCCTTCTTGCTGCTATTCCATCAAATAAACACACACCAAGACAGAAGACATTATCAGCGCTCTCAAGATATGCTTTTCGTTTTCTTTGTAGTACTGGGGGCTCAGCACAGAGCCTCACAGAGCTCACTCCTCCTCCTATGTCCACCTTCAGTCCTCAAAAGACTTCTTTCAATGGAGTTTTAAGTATGCTTGCAGAGAATTAAATAAAATGAGCCTGACCAAGATACTTTCTCCTTCTGCCCCCAAACTGAAAGTTAAATTAAAGCCAATACAGAAAACTCATCAGCATATTGTCTCTAGAGTCTGGGATCCAGAACTGGGCTCGCAGGAGTAACTAAGCAGAAACCCAAAGTTGGAGGCTATGAGGTAATATTAATGAAAGCATTGGACAAATGCCAGATTTAAAAGGGGGGATGGGTGACATTAAGCACCTAAAAAAATATCACCTGCAGTCAGAAAGGTACATCAGGAATCCAGATGGTTCCAAAGGGGGATCCAACTAGGTCAGATGTCAACGACAAAAATCTATCGGTAACTAAGCAACAGGCTCTGATACCTGTGTACTTTCTTCAGTAGGCTTTGTTTTACCTGGTAGTGAGAGTCAGATGTTAATTGTTATGAAAAGGGAAATCAAAACCCCAAAGAACCATCTCTGCCCTTGACCAACTCCAGGGCACACCGAAGAATTAGCTGCCTGACACTGGTTGAGGCAGAAGCTTGAATTTGATCATGGACCATAAAATAGACCTCCGAGGAAGTCCTGATAGCCTAGCCTTGTTATAAAAGAGAATGAGAATACTGTTCCAATTCTTGGTGAGGCGAGCAGCCAACTTCTTACTAAGTACAACCAGCAAGTGAGGCTTAGGAACAACGCTGCCCTGAGCTTTGCTCAGAACTTCTCCAAACCAGGAAGTGTGAGCCTCCTACTCATCCTTCCCACATCTGAGCCCCTGCGCTCCCCAGGGCGCCCCACAGAAGGGGACATGACCTAAATCCATCAGCTATTTTATTCTGGCCCATTTGTTTCCTCACAAACTCTACAAAGAAAGAGCTACTGCTCCAAAGAAATCTGCTTTGAAATCCAAACGCAACTTCCTTTCCACACTTCGTCCTCCTCACCCTTCAAAAGCAGTTGCTTGGCGGCATTGCAGGGAACAAACAAGTGGGAAGTCCCTGTCTGCATCTGCCCTTCTGGCTCTCTGAGTCTCATACCCTCACAGACCAGACAAGCCCCACACTCCCTTCTGTCCACAGACAGATCCAGATAGCCCTCCATCAACTCCTCCAGTATCTCTAGGCCACCTCACCCTACTCTACTTGGTTTTCCACTGATTAAACAAATGGTGAATCCCAGCACTTGGGAGGCAGAAACAGTCGTATTTCTGAGTTTGAGGCCAGCCTGGTCTACAGAGTGAGTTCCAGGACAGCCAGGGCTACACAGAGAAACCCTGTCTCGGAAAAAAAAAAAAAAAAAAGTGAACTAGAGGTTAGGAGTTTTCTAAAAAACACCAACAACTAGAAACAGAACAAGAATAAAAACTTGTTTAGATACTCATGTACTTCTTTGTGTTCTGGGTCTCCCAGCACAGTAATGTTTGGAGCACTGCTTCTGTCAGGTCTAGGACACTGGTCTCATTACTCAGCAGCTCCTTTCTCCCTGTGGCTTAAGCTCTGAGCAGATGTGCAGCTATCTTCAGGGACTACTTTCAAGAAGACTGGCCTGCTTTACATGCACAAGGATGCTCCTTGTGCATCCACAGAATTACCTCTTCCTAAATACACCCATGTTATCTGAACAACCTCTTTTCTAGTGCTGCTTTATCTTGGTTTCTGGAATCTGCTGGGGATCTCCAAGGCCTTCGAAGGAACAACAGGCCTCAGAACAGAAAAGCTCCATTTCTCAGTGAGCAGTCTTTCGTGCTTACGAGAAAACACTGCCAGAGTGTTTTGGGCTTCTTTATGAAATCACCTCACTGTCCTGATGGGATGTGAGTACAGCTGTCCTTCCACCCAGCTCAAGTCCACGTGCCATCCCTAGGACAGATGGGATAGCCACCTCCGATACTGCTCTCTTTTTCCCCCTTACAGGGCAAGTGGACGTAGGGAGAGTACCAGAAAGCCACCTGTACTTGGTGGGATCCCTACCTTGCTCAAGGACAATGGCACAGGCTATCCAACATAACTCCTATAACTCTACCTTCTGGGCAGGCCCCCTTGTACATATGGCCACTACTCAATTAGTTCACTATCTTCCTTAAAAGGAAAGCTGTAGGAAAAAAATCTTTTCTGTATCTGAGTGTAGACTATGCAGCTAACCCTTAATAGTAAATATTACCTGAATCTTTAATCTGCAACACAGAATATTAACTTGGAAGTGGTGGAAGGAGATTTGAGGTGTGAAGGGTTTAGGAACTAAGCTGTGTGGTATCCTCTAATAAATAGGGCTTTGAGAAGACACAGGCGTGCCAGGCCTCCTTTAGAGCTCCAAGGGAGGGGAGGGAACAGGTCTGATGACTGTAATATAGCTGCCCTTGATGGTGAGGGACAATAAATTCTCAAAGAGTGACAGAGCAACCTCAGACTCTTCCACTTCCTCTTTGTACCCAAGCCCCTTTCCTGCCTCCCTTCAGAGAAATCCAGGCTCCTTTGCTCCATTGGTTATGTTAGTCTGGGAAGGTGGCCATCCCTTCTTGTAGGGCACTTCTGCCTTTGCAGGGAATGTCCGTACCCAGCTTAGCACAGTAGGACTTCTCAGAGCTCTGTAGTCACCTCACAGGCTTCTCTCAATAGTCCAATGGAATCTCTCCAATGGAGATTTCAGCAAATGATGCAAGGCCAGGCCAACTCTAGCATCCCTACTCTCTGAGTCTGTTCAGAAAACTCTAAGCAAACATCCGTCTCTCTGGTAATAGACAAGCCTCTGACAACTGTAATCCCTAGTCACTTCCAAGTGAACAGAGAGGACTTTAGTGGCAAGAGCCATAATTCTTTCTTTTCCTCCAAGTGATGAAGGCTTCTACTAAAAGGAGCAGAGTCAGAAAGCTAATAATACTGACTAAGCAAGTGGGGCAAAGGCATCCTGCCCAGACAGATAAAACTCATGAAAGATGGCACCGAAAAGAAGCACTGGACAGAAGCCGTGTGCTGAGAGAGGGGTTACAGGGACCCAGAGAAAAGAAATTCAGACGGCACAGGAGGGGAGCCTCCACAAGTAGCCTCAAGTTTTCTGACATTGTCGGTACACATTTCTTATTTCGTTTCATCCATACAACTTAAGGAAATACAAAGAAAGAGAAAAGGTCTTTAACCTGATGGAACATGGGAGTGAGATTACTGAATATACTGACTTAGAAACTACTTATGTTTTACCCAGCACAACATGTTCATAAACAAGCATTTCATCTTAAAACATCACCATCCTAGATCCGTTTTTATTTTTCAATTATCTATGTAAAGGTTTTGCTAAATACAATGATAGACATGTCTACTATAAACATTAATTCCCATCATCCACACACTCTTCCACACTGCCTCCAAACTGATAATCTGAATTAATTTAAATATCAAAGATTACTTTTTAATATTTTGCAATTTTACATACATATGCTATTGACTCGCAAATGCTTACAAATAAAAACAAAACAAAAACACAGGCCAGCAAGTGACCGTTAAATGAACTTAACTCAAAGCCACTTTCACAGAGGCTGTGCTACCATCTTGGAAAGGTGGGAAAATATGATACTAGCATTAGAGACCCCATTTCCTGACAGGGTAAACGAAGGCACTTCGTTTAATCAACTTGCCAGGGGGTTAAAATAGCTGGAAAGAGAAACCAATTCTCCTTCCACTAAACTTAAGCACTCTAGTGGGTGGCTAAAAATGGGACCCACTTGGGAGCCGCGGGGGGTAAATAAAGGCTACTAGTTTTAGAACCAGGATAGGGAGGAGGGGGGTGCCACTTGATGCTCCCGACCGTGAGCCGGTCTCTCCCAAGAAAGCGTCCCCCCCGCAGGCCCAAAGATGCACCCACCCGCTTTGGGCTCAGACCCCTTGGATGCCGCTAGCCAAGCAGGAAAGCTCAGGGAAAGGACCGAGCTGCCTGGGAGAACCGAGTGGACCTCGGGGCCGGCGTGAAGCCCGCGGGCCCAGGACATCATCTGCTCCAAGCCGAGCGGCGCGGGGCCGGCGGCAGGAAGGATGCTGCGCCGCCGCACACCTGCGGGAGCCTCCCGCGCGCTCCCACCCGCCTCGGGCGCCCGAGCTCGGCCGCGCTAGGCCGGTGCGACGCGGCGCCGTGCCCGAGGCTGCGCTGGGCGAGGCCGCCCTCCTCCCGGATCCCGTCCAAACGGCGTCACCTGTGCCGGGTCCCGGGACGACTCCCGCGGGCGGCGGCTGCGCGGGGCCGGGAGAGCGCAGCGGGGCTCACAGGCGCCTGGTCATCCAGCCCGGCCCGAGGGCTGCGCCGGCTGGAGCCACGCGCGAGATGCTCGCGGGAAGCCGGGGGAGCCTGGAGGAGCTGTCGCCGAGGCTCGCGCTGCCGCCGCGCCCGCCCGGACTGCGGGCTCGGGTTACCGCAGAGCGGCTCCTTAAAGGGGCCGCGGCCGCTCGGACTGAGCTGGCGCTCGCCGCGGCTCCGACCCCAGGCCAGAGTGGGCGGGGCCCGGAGGCCGCGCGTGGGGCCCACCTCCCGGCGCTGGAACTTGGATCTCGGCCGGTGCTCGGAGGCGCGAGCTTCGGCGGTGGGGTGCGATGGAACCCTGAGAGCTCACACCTCGGCTCGGGTGCAGTGTGCGGTTCGAGGGCTTTCCCAGCAAGTCACAGACCTCACGAGTGGGGAGAAGTATGTGAGTCCTCCCCAGCGGCCGTCAGCGCCCCAGCTCGCCACGTAGCCAAAACCCCTTTTCAATGGTGAATTCTGCCTTATATGCCCCAACGCTGTGCAAAAGATCGGCATGGTTTGCTTTATAGAGAAGGGGATGAAAGGGCAACTGATGCTTTTTTTTTTCCTGCCACGTCTGACACGGCCAAAGTCGAGCTCCGCCCCGTTCTGGTTTGAGGCTGCAGGTGCGTGCCAAGCCGGCTAGGAGGCACGTGTGTGGAAGAGGCGTGATGTCTCAGAGCAGCCTCTTCCCAAACCCCTGGAGAACACCCTTAAAGGACTGCAAGCAGTCGGTAGCTCCTGCTTAGCATGCCCAATGCCCTGGATTCGATTTCAACGTAACAAAAACGGGTACACTAGCAATCCATCTATATCCGGGACCCCTCTACAGTCAGGATGTTTAAAGAGGACTAGACTGTTTTGGATTTGTTGTTTATTTAATACTGGCTGAGTATCCCAAATTGCCAAGTCTATAAACTCTGCTTTCTGACATGCTGTATTAACGAGATTGAATTACCTGGAATAAAACTAAATAATGCAGGGGTACATACAAGATATGTAATTTGCAAAAAGCAATCACAAGTCCTATTTTTGGAAATATAAATTTCACATAAATTGAATCACTTGGAAAGTCCACCATTAATGACATAGGGCAGTTGTTTGTGAGAAATGCCTACCAATAAAGCTTACATATTTGACCTAATATGTATACACACAGGGACACATCTGCTACTGATTTAGGCCAGAAAAAATGCACATATAACCTCACACCTCATCTGTATTTATATTCAACGTGGAAAGCAATAGAGCTGAAATCTTATTTATTAGAACCTGGAGTTCTTTCTAGCGGCGCTGTCTTCAGCTAACTAACAGAGCTAGCCGAGCTCACTGAAGCTCAGTTCATCTATAGAAATGGAACAATTCAGTTATTTCTGAAAGCCCCCGGTCTAGGCAGAGCCACAGAGAAAAAAAAACCTCAATCATCTACATGGTCAGAAAAACAGCCAGGAAGACCATGCAGATAGTTCCCCATGTTCTGCCCAAGAGTCTCCGAATTCCAGGGCAACAGTGCTATGGCCACGCCTGTTTTGTCACAGATATTTCCCAACTTGCATAGCCCCTGATTGTTTTGCTTTACTCCATAGCTGCTTCATGTACTCATGTGTTCGTCTCATAACTGTGTGGGCATGTGATGGTTATAGGCAGATATCTACACGGTCCGCTCAGATAGGACAAATTTGACAGTGCTATCTCAGGACTGTCTGTCATCTGCAGGCACTTATCCTAGCTCTTCGCTGTTGGTCAGTTGCTCTGTTCTCTCCTGATAAATGCACCATCATTACCCTTAACATCTACAATTCTCGAACTCCAACAGGAATTAACCAGACAAGCCATGTAGACCTATGGAAATACACTGTGGAAATATGAATTAAAAATAAAATAAAAAATTCTCTTAAATGCTGCAAATTTCCCTGATGAATTAGTTTCAGAGAAAAATCCTTACAGTTCTAAATAAAGGTGATTGAAAAATTGAGACTAAAAACTACTTTGTTTTTTAAACTAACGATGGAGCTCAGGAAAACTTGTTCAGTTCTCTTCTTGCTGTTAGAGAGATGGAGCCTACATGATACCACACATACTGATCAGAAAGTCTGGGTTAGAGCTGGAAACCTGTCTCAGAGGCAAAGCCCTTGCCTGGCATGCGCAAGGCCTTGGGTTCATCTACAGGATGGGAGGGGAGGTGGAGAGAGAGAGGTGAGAGGGCATTGGTTCAGTTAGTAACAAAAATGAATAACTGTGCTAAGGGTTTTAGTATTTACTTAAAATTACTTTCAACTGTGTTTTTAGGAAGAAACTATTTGAAGATATTTATGTTATCCCTGTAGGGGTAAAATTGTGGATAAGTTTTGAGTTCTTTGTGCTTACGTTATTTTTTTTTCTCTGAATATGTGTATTGCCTTTGTTTACATTTTATTTTTAATAAAAATCTGTGTGTATATATATGAGCCTTCTAAATTTTTCATACACACACAAAATTTTAAAATGTCTCCTAAAGCTTCAGGTAAAAGCCCTGGCCTGCCCACTTCTCACCTAGCCTCAGTCACAATCCTCAAACCCTACTGTGTATTCTATATTTTCTAATACTATTCTATGTTTCTTGATTTTTCAGCTCTAGACATTATTGACTGACATCTTGTCACAGTATTTGAGGATCTGGCTCCCCCAACACCACCACATCCTCGAACACCTACCCCGCCCTTGCTCCCAAATTAGCCTCATCACAATCTATAAACAGTAATTAGGGTTTACATCATCCTGACCGGGTGAACAGAACTCATTGCCAAGTCAAGTACTGTGCCCTCCTGGGGGGGGGGGGGGGGGGAGGTTAATAACTGGCCTGGCTTTTTTTTTTGGCTTTTTAGAACATGTATCTAGCCTAAATGTTACCCAAATTTTTTTATCCATCAAACAAATACTCATCAGTAACATCCTCCAACAGCCAAACGCGTTACTTTGACTCGACTCTCATTTTGCTGAGGCACCAACTCAGCACCTTCCTCAGGAGTCCACAGAAAGCATGCAGCCTGGAAAAATGTCTAGTTCCTGTTCTCCCAGTGGTGTTGAAACAGCTGATGGCTCTACAGTCCCTACAGTTCCTCTCTGACTTCTTTTTTTCTTCCTAAACATTCCCATTATGCTTGCAAGCCTGAAACATCCCAATAATATATCTTAGAATGAGTCTTTTTTTTTATCATTGATTATATTGAACACTAAGGCATTTTTCTCTTATCTACACTTTTTAATTTTTATTCCCCCCACCTTTGGTGAATTCTTGGTAGTCACCTATTAGCATGTCTATTTTATTCTCTAAATTTATTGCCGTTTCCTCCTTTCCTAATCCAGCAACTCACTTAAAAAGCTGGCTGTGCTGGCACACCTGCAATCTCACTGGCTGAGGCAAAGAGGATCCCAGGGGTTCACTGGCCATCTTAGCCAAAAAGGCAAGCTCCTGCTTGAGAGACACTGTCTCAAAAAGGAAGTGAGGCAGAGAGCAGTAAAGACAATCAAGGGCAACCTGACCTCTGACTCCATATGCGTGTACACCTACGCACAGAGGTAACATGCACATTCACACACAGGGTTCTACTTGATCCACCTTCAGCTCCTGTGTCTCAGCTCTTGCCACAATTCCCGAGCCCTTAGGCTTTTCATTTCAATGTCTGAGTGGCTCCAAGAAACCAAGAACATCTGCGCTTTTCTACCTTGACACTTAACTGTATTTTGCAATTAACCTTTAAACTCAGTTCCTTTCTTCCTAATCCAGGCGATGACCTCATCCAATGCTAACTTTATCTCATCCTCACCTTAACCTGTCTTTGCTGTCTCCCCATGCTCCCTGATATCAACTCCACCATACAAGAGCCAGTGAAAATTCTCTTGAGCTCCAGATCTACATTCCCGGTGTGCTCCTACGTTTTCCCAGATCCAATGTCGTAAAATATATAATGCCTTGTCTCTCTTCTCCATCCTCTTCATCCTTCTACCTGCATTCTAACCAGGCCCGACACTGCTCAACTTCCAGGATCAGATGAGATGGGGTGCATTCAGGGTGGGCGTGGCAGTAAACCACGTTCCTCATTCTCTATCTTTCCTTTCTAAGGAGTTGCCATGCCTCTAGTCCATCCACCTCAGAAACTTCAACTGTTGGGGGCCCAATGAGAAAGAGATGGCTGAGTGAGTAAAGGCACTGCTTTCAGGTCTGACAACCTAAATTCAATCCCTGGGACCCACATGGTAAAAGGAGAGAACCGACTCCTGCAAAGTATCCTTTAACCAGTATATGTGCTGGTCTCAAATTCACTATATAGTTGAGAGTGACCTTGAACTTCTGATTCACCTACCAAGTGCTGGGATTATAGGCATGTGCAGGGCTGGGGATTAAACTCAGTACCACCATCACTGCAGGCATGAAATGCTCAGACCTCCCTCTAGCAACTCCTGCAAGTTGCCCTCTGACTTTAACTGGTACATCATTGCCAGTTTTTACATATTTTACTAGCCATGTGACATGAATAGATTTCATGTAGACAAGACCTGAGCTACTGTGGGGATTAAATTGAGTCAATGAGCACCAACCGTTTAGGAAAGAAAGCCAGGCCTGGTAGTATGTTCTCCCAGCTGTTTGGGAGACTGAAACAGAAGAATCACAATTTCTAGGCTACACTATAGAGTGAGTTCAAGACTACTTTCCTGGGTAGCCTTGTGAGAACCAGTCTCAAAATAAAAAGTCAGAAGAGTTGGGGATGTCTCTCAGGAGAGTAGAACTTGGCTACCATGTATGAGGCTGTTACTGTGAAAGAGAAAAGCAGACTATACTCGGTAAACACTGCCAAATGAGACCAAGACTACTGGGCATGCCCTCACTCATTATAAGTCCTGTGAGACTAATTTGTGTCCATTCGTGAATATATCCATTCAGCCAATCAGCCAATGTCTACTAAATATCAATTTATTCTAAAGGTAGATAAATAATAATCCCTGTACTCAGAGTTCCAGGCTAGCAGAAGAGATGAGAACTTAGGGAAAATGGACAACCATGATTAAATGTATAGAATGTTCACAGAAAAGGAGGCTGGAAATCTGGCTCAGTGAATCAAGCGTTTTCTGTGTAAGCATGGAGACTGGAGTTTGGATCTCCTGAGCCTGTATAAATGCAAAGGTGGGTATGGCAAACTGCTCTGAGGATACAGAGAAGGGACCTCACAGCAAGCCTGTTTTCTAGTACTAGTTATTTCAACAAGCTCTGAGTGCAATTCAGACACTCTGCCTCAGAGAATAAGGTGCAGAATGACTGAAGAAGACTCGGATAGCAACTTCAGGACAAACCCATGTCCCACAATCATCCATCCCTACACATGCAAGTACATACACGCACATGTGAAAACTACAAGAAATCACAGAAGAGTTGGTGTTGAACCTAAAAGGCTGACCAGAGAGCATCACTAAGCAAGTACAGTGTACTCAAAGTTAT